GCGGGTCTTTTTTTTTTTTTTTTAATTCCTGGGATGCTATGGCTGGGTGGGGCAGCGATTGGGAGAGGCTCAGGCTGCAGGCAAGGCATGGGGCTGGGAGGGGTCAGCAGTTGGGGGACCTCGAGGGCAGGTGGGGGATGGGGCTGGGTGGGGCAGCAATTAGGGGGCTAGGGGAGGGAGCAGGGGATGGGGCCAGGCAGGGCAGAAATTGGGGGGTTGGGGGAGCAGGGGAGGTTGGCAGGGGTGCCCCCATAGTCGCCTCCCCCCTCCTTCAGGCCCCTGGCTTCCTACTTACTGGCAGGAGCTGGGGTCCAGCTCCCTGCAGCTGGCAGGCAGCATGCTTCAGCACTGGGTTGAGGGCCAGCCATAGAGAGAGGGAGCAGGGGATGGGGCCAGGCAGGGCAGAAATTGGGGGGTTGGGGGAGCAGGGGAGGTTGGCAGGGGTGCCCCCATAGTCGCCTCCCCCCTCCTTCAGGCCCCTGGCTTCCTACTTACTGGCAGGAGCTGGGGTCCAGCTCCCTGCAGCTGGCAGGCAGCATGCTTCAGCACTGGGTTGAGGGCCAGCCATAGAGACACTATAGCAGGCTACCAGAGCAGCTCTGTGGAGCAGTGTTTCTCAACCCATGGTATGCATGCCCCTGGGGTTACATGAAACACAAGCAGGGGGTACGCAGGTGCTGTGTTTTGGTTTTGATTCTAGCCGCTGCCCCTCCTGCTGTGTCTGGTGCACCAGAGCTTTCATTCCCCAGTGTCAGCATGCTGGGAGATAGCGAGGGAGGCCCCGTGCAGACTGCTTTGCCCCGGATCATGGTGGAAAAAGTGGGACTTGGCTCGCGGCAAACCAGAAGTGCCGCAGTGGGAGTTCTGGTTTCGTTTTTGCCATGTCAATCGGCAGGGGGTACCAAAGGTTGAGAACCACTGCTGTGGAGGACCAAGCCTCCAGTTGCCTCAGGGCATGGTCTGGGACCATGCCCTGCCCCTCTTTTTTCCTCCACAGTTTTTTTTGCCCCCTGGATATCCAGGGCTTTAATTTTGATCCCGCAGTGCAAATTTGCAGTGCAGGGAATGCTTTTGGTTCCCGCAGGTACCTCTTGCAGCATCTCAAAGGGCTTTGAGATGCTGCAAGACACACGTGTGCGCTCGTGTGGATGTACCCCATGGGTCCAAGCTGGTGTAGACTGGCATCTGGACCTAGAGGCTACACAGTTGTTCTGTCTTTGTACAGATCCATTAATCTTACCTTGCCCTGAACACATCAGAACAAGAGGATGTTCCTATTCTCTCTCTTCCATGGTAGCCACTGAATTAAAGCTATTATAGAGCTATTTAACTCTATATTTCCTAACCAGGGCCATTCGTTATAATTGGACCAAATCCATTGATTGACTATTCATCACCAGTCTACAAATAATAGGAAAAGAAAATATCCTGGCAAACAAAAAAGGCTGATTTCATGCTGCCTGAACATTGGGAAGACAGCCAGATTGTCACATAGTCACAGACAAATAATCTCTGAAACAATGAACTGAAAGTAAGTTTTCTGGATAAGAAAACTTCTTTAGACCAAGGGCTACAATTGAATGTACTGTGAGGAAATCTTTGAAGCTTTGCTGATAAATTAATTCCTAATCCTGAAAGCTGGAACATAACGTGAATAATCTGCTATCTTTAGAGCAGTGATTAAATTTTTGCTGTAATGTTAAAATGCAGCTTTATTTTGTGTTGGGAAAGTATATCAGCTACTCATCAGGAATTCAAGAAGAAATACTGCTGGTAGAAATCCTCCCCCCTCCCCGAAAACCTCCCAAATCAGGTCTTGTTATGATTTGGGAGATTGCAGATGATACTTGTTTTTTTCATAAATGTTCACTCCCATCTTTATTTGAACATTTTAGCCAAAATGTCAGTATCGGTTTTGTCCTTATTTGCCTTGTTGTAATTCTGTATGAAACTGATTTGGGAGAAATTTGCTTTGATCTCTCTCTCTCTTTCTTTTTAAGGTCAACTCAAATCAAAACATACTCTTGGGATAATGCCCAGGTTATTTTGGTCGGTAACAAATGTGACATGGAGGACGAACGGATAATCCCTACTGAGAGAGGCAAACATTTAGCAGAGCAACTTGGTAAGAAAAGATATGACAAGAGAGCTTTGTGATCATTTGTACCATTGCACAAAATACTGGCACTAATTGCTACAATGATTTTACTGAAAGGTTCAGGAAAAGTGCATCTATCTGCCATTGTAAGGAAATGCAGCAATAGTGTGTGACATGCACCATCTTCATAAGAACAAGGAATTTAATCTTCTAAAGCTCTAAAAGGATTAGAGAAAAGAGAGACCTTGTTTCTCATATGAAAACTGGACTGATGTATCCAAAGGAAAACCTATCTTCTTCCACCAGCCACCCGCAACTACTTTATAGGTGCTCACAAGCTAACTGTAATTTTTCTGGGGCAGGGTGTTAAAATTGGTAATTTTTTTATCTCTTCTTTTAATCCTACTAATATCATTTCTTGAATACAGCCAAAAGACTTGTTTATCTAAAAATCCCACATAAGGTACTTTGCAAAAGGAATAAACCTCATAGCTCATACGTATGTTAAAGGAAAACGAAGCCAGTTCAAGAATCACCATGAACCTTTTTCCAGAATTTGAACTGAAACTGTTTACATATTCTGGAATTTGGATTATTATTTACAATGTATACAGCCTGAGCCAGGAGTTTCCTCCAACTCCCATTACATTGTTTCACATTTACACTGGCATTAATGAAATCTGGTTCACAGACCCTGCCTCTTGGAAAGTACAGTTATCCACATGGATAATTATTTGCAGCATTTAGCATCTCTGTCCTTTACAATTCTGCCAATCAGTGGAAGTACTTTCTTGCCACAATAAATGCTATTTTTGTTGTGATTCTGACCAAACTGAAATGAAGAAATAGTAATCTCACAAGAATCTGATCTTGTAAGTTTTCATACCCAACTTTGCAGATTTCACAGGTCCTGCTATTTGGACAAGCATCCATATATTCAAGTCATATACTTTTTGCCGGTCATTAAAACTTACTCTGGCAAGCACCCTCTTTTATTCTAGTGAACAAGTAACTATCTTTAGCTTGTCTTTTTTTCTTTAGATGAGTACCGATGGAAAGGATGATTATAATATTATAATAGCATTTATACCCAGGTTTGTCAGGGTGGTCCAACCCCAAACTGTTTATTGTTTGATGATGCTACCTGAATTTTAACTTCCTGTCATAACCACTCTCCCTTTTGAAAAACACTTTGCTACTAGCTATTTGTCTTGGTGACTTATTTAATAGCATTACCATGATCTTGCTTTCCTCATACTTATCCACCTGAAGTACATCTCCAAAACAGCCACACAAGCAATGACCATAAACCAGTTCTTGAAAGACTGACAAAAAGGAGGCTTTGCCCAAACTGCTGCTGCCATCTAGTAGAATGGATTATGGCTGGACAGATTGCCTCAGTAGTTGAGAACTGACTTTTTTTATACTTTGTTTTCTATAAAAACAAGTTGTTGCTATAACAACTACTTTGGCATGTAATACTTTTTCTGACAGAAATACATTTTCATCGACATGACCTATTCTTTCCTCGTAGTGCCTACTCATGTTAATAGGAAACTGTATTGATTGGAACAGAGGACCCAAAATTGGTGTGCCAAAAAACCATATATATTCCTTAATTTGTTGAGAGGAACAAATGGCATTAAAAAGTCTGGCACTTTCTGAAGGTGCAATTTCTGTTCTAAAACGTTTTATATTTTTAAGTCACACAGAAATCTTTTTCCTCCCTTAAAATGGTTTTTATGTAGAAAAAATAAAATAATGATTTGGCAGGTTATCATCAAGGCCAGGAATTTAGCAAGAGTTGAAGAGTGCTTGGACATTTGTATAAATCACAAGAATTTTCAGTTATAATACCTAAGGCTACCAAAAAAAGGTTCTGTGCTGGAAAGCCAACTTCATGATCTCCCAGGCTTTGTACTTAAAATTAGGCCTAGATTATCATGAAAGGCATGTCCCACTTTTTTCTACCAAGACAGCTTTCTCTGAAGCATCTGATTCTAGCTGCTGTCCAAGACAGAATACTAGACTGAATAGGCTGTGGGTCTGATGCTGCAAGGCAATTCCTACACTCCAGTAATATACTGCACACATCCTGCTAAACAGCCTGAAGGAGAATGGCAAGGAGAAAAAAGTAGGATGAATTTCCCTGGATTCACTGGGTATCTTGAAGGGCTATGTGAAACAGAAAATAGAAACTGTAGTTTAAGGCCAAGCGCAGATGTTACACTTTTTCTGGTTTAGGTGGTCTGAAACCAGTCTATACCCATAACAGAACGAAAGTTTGGAGCATATAGACTGGTTTAAAAATTGTGGAATCTGGTCTAAGATAGATCTGGATGGATGTAGAATCAAACTAAATGGATTCAGGTTAAATCGGTCTGTCAAACTTCAGTACCAGATCCCCTCCCAACTCAAGATAGACCTGGGATAGAATCATAGACTCATAAATAAATTAGGGCTGGAAGGGACCTCAGGAGGGCATCTGGTTCAACCCCCTCCTCAAAGCAGGGCCTTCCCCAACTAGATCATCCCAACCAAAGCTTTGTCTAGTCAGGTCTTAAAAACCGCTAAGGATAGAGAGTCCACAACCTCTCTGGGTAGTCTGTTAGCAGCTTCCCCACTAACTTTCCCTCACAGGGTGGCTCACCAGCCTCGGCCATGCTCAGCTGCTCCAAGCTGTCAGCCACAGGTGCGGGAGGGTGGAGGGAAGGAAGGGTGCATCTGTAGCTCAGGAATTTTCTATCTTTATACAATGTTCCTAGGTAGGAATGGGTGGGCTCTCTGGGAGAAGAAAGGGCCCTGCAGGGCTCTGGCAGGCTGCACACAGTGATTCCTGCAGTCATGCTTGGCACCTGCTGCCACTGCCTGTTTTTTGCCAGGGCTTAGGGAGCCTGATCCTTCTTTCTGCAGGGTCCCCCCTTTCTCTGCTACAGGTATGGGGCTGCAGATTCCTGCCTCCAGGGGAAGGAGGGGAGGACTCCAGTCCTGCTCCCTGGAGCTGTGCTAGCTCACACAGGACCAGAGCTAGGCATAGCTGAGCAGGCACAGGCGCAGGCAAGAGGCATGGCACCTAGGTGGCAGAGGGGAGGCTGTCCTGGCCTGAGCCAGCAAAGCTGGGGGCATTGTGGGGCATGATCTTTACCCCTGCCTGCAGCCTGGCTAACCAGTCCTGCCCCCCATGAATAGCCAGTTGTCAGCAGTGCAGGTGAGGGAGAAGGGGGGACAGAGGCCCTGCCCCAGCCTCATCCCCACAACAGCTGGGGCCAGGGGCCTCCATGGTTAGGGCTTCTCCTCTGCAGCTGCCCTTATACAGAGTGCTCCTGTCCCCAGTGCCTGGCACTGGCTGCTTCTACAGACCTGGGCCATCCCTATCCCTGATCAGCTATTGGGCACACACCCCCTGGCTCTGACAGCCACTATGAGCTGAGCTGTAGCTGTAGCTGAGCTGTAGCTACCCTGTACCCAACCCTGGGCTTCCAGGGGTAGCTTTGGAGGGGTGTTGCCATGGTGACCCCCTCTGGGGCTTTCCTGGGGGCCTGGGGCTGGATGAGAGAGAGGTTCCACAGTGGCAGCTGGGGGTTTGGGACATTTGCCTGATAGACAGTCAGGGAAGGCCAGCACTCAGCTGCGCTCCAGCAGGCTGGGAGGTGTGCAAGAGTGCTTCCCTCCTTCTGACCTCCATCAGTGCAGGCATCTGTATGCCTCCCGCACCAAAGAGCAAAAATGTTTCATTAGCTCCCCATCCAATCTATGCAGTTTAGAGAAACCTATGTCGATTAGATTGATTCTGCCTTGGGCTTTTTGAATGTCTGTGCTTAGCTTAGATGAAGAGACTTGATCTGTCATTCTGATTCTGCCAATGTCCTGTTGTTTCACCTTTGGAAATCATATACAGCCCAAATTTTTAAAAAGTCCCGGTGTCTAGTTGGAAAGGAGTTTATTTTTAAGACCTCATGAATTGTATTTTTGTCTTTAAGGTTTTATTATTTTATCTGTTTATTTTTAAATGGTCCAAGGACATGTTTTCACATGCTTGGTGGGGGAGGGGGAACACTTTAAAGTGGCTCTAATTAAAGGGCCTGCAGGAGCTCATGTATTCAGTGTCCTATGCTTCAAAATGGCAGCGGGTGCACTTTAACTAAAACTCGTTCAATAAGCTTTAGTTAAAGTGCCCCGTCTCAATTTTGAAGTGTGGGGATGCTGAATACATGAGATGCGGAGACTGCTAGGACTCACTAATTAGCACGCACCAACAGACTCCAGGGCTAGGGACAGGCATTCAAAAAGCCTGAGCCTGAATTGATTCAGTCATTGCAGGTTCATCTAACCTGGCTAGGCTAAACCAGTTTATAACCACCCAGACATCCCCTTTGGACTGAAAAAGTTCCGGCACATGCCTGCAGTGGCTCAGGCTAGAAGCCGGGGGGTGCTAGAGCAGCCCTCCCTTCCCTCCCATAGTGCTGAGCTGAGGGGGAGTGGCCAGACCCCGGCAGAATGTTGTGATTTGGGAGGAGTTCCCTCCATTCTGACCAGCCCAGGAGGGATTTGAAAACAGTGTTTATCAGTCCTAACTCAGTGTTTATCACCCCATTAAGAAAACAACAGAGGGACATTACCAGCTACCCATTGATTCTGCCTTTGTCCCGTCTGCCACAGCACAGACCATAGCCAGTATGTGGTCTAATAGCTAATGCTGAGAGGTGTCTGTTTAAGGCAGAGGGGATGGGGATTCCCTTCTTCAGCAAGGAGTGGTGAGGGGGAGTGGGGAAGCAGGGGGAAGCCAGGCAGACGCCTGCAGCCTCTGCCATAGCTGCAGCCAGGGAGCAGAGGGGAGGGGCCAGCTCTGCTATGGATCAGAGAGCCCTGTCTAGCCCAGAGAGCATGCTGTAATGCTGGGGGAGTCTGATTTAACTTAAACCAGCAGCAAGCTGTAATTACAGTGTGCCAGAGCAGTGTCCCAGCATGTATATAGGCACCCTAAGAGCCGGCAGATGAGATGCATGGTTACCCTCTGACTACATAAA